CGAACACCGTTCCGAGGTTCGTGCAGCCAGGTATTATCATTAGCTCTCAAACAGTAAGTGTGGTTCATAGTCCACTGTACAAACGTGTGCAAGGTTACTGAGTGCATTTTTGTCGATCTTGACCAAGGCCAGTTTATTTTAGCCGTTATAGATGGGTTCTTTCACCAACTCTCTTATGTCTGCACCTCGAATCTGTTAGTATATTATTCAATAAAGACGATTACTCACTTTTCGTAACATGTATGACGTAAAACGTGCATTAGGCTATTTTACGATAGCTTTATGCCATTTTTACTGCTAACAGTATAAAACGGGTTTATTGGTGTAAACACTTGACTTCCAGTCCGTCAGTCAGTACCAAAGTAGGACCTGGGATTACTGCATAACAGCGTAAGCTTCAACATTTCATATCAGCACATGAAGGTATTAAGTGTTGATGAAAGGTAGAGAAATAAGGAATGTAATCAAAAGTAGTAGAAAGTTGTGGAAACAGAACAAGAAAAAATGGGAAAATAATGAAATTTGACCTAGTGCTGAAGGTGAAGGTAATCTGTAGATGCATCTGCACCACTGAGGTCGATTGTTAGCTATGTTATCTAGTCTCCAACCAGAAATTCCGGTTGTCGTCCCGTCCCCAAACGGGAAGTCAGCTTTGTCCTAAAGTGCTCAGACCAACAGTCAGAAACTTCATGGGGCGATGCCACGTTTTAGTTTGACCGTCTCTAACCTTCTGGTCAACGTTTCAAACCAAATTTTACATACCAGAATCTGGTCAACCAGATAGTATCATTGACCATCCTAAAACAGATGTGGTTGGCTGTCTACTTCGCAGACGTGCATCCTATTGCTAAGCACATTTCGATTTTAATTTCAAATGATGACAATTCCGCGTGACTGCAGTCTATGACAAACGTTTTTGTTAGGTGACTGTCATGCATAAAGAAGTCGAAAGTATCCAGCACAATGCTTATATCGACCATTTTTTCATGCTTCCTTTCGACCCTGGCTTTGACATCCTCATCTGTGCCTGTGTCGCCTGTAGTTGAAACGATGCTGCCTAGGTAGGTGAAAGACTACTTTCTTTAGGTTTCTCGCGTTAATGGTGATTGGTGCTTGTTGTTGTTGTTGTTGTTTGGGTATCTTCATCACCTCCGTCTTCACCTGAAGTCCCATCTTTGCTGCCTCTTCTGCCAACTTGTTGGTTTTCGCCTGTAGATCTACGAATTTGTGCGACATTAGACATAAATCATGGGTGAAATCGAAATCTTCTAGAGTCTTTTCATCGGTCAAACAGCGAATGCCTCTCTTCTCGCTCCTCACAGTCTGTTGCATGATCCAGTCCAGTCCAGTCGACCACAATCAGAAAGATCATGGGTGATAGTGGGCGACAGCCTTGTCTTACTCTTGTCTTCACTTCAAAGGCGTCAGTGATGTTTTCATTATGAATCACTCGGCATGTGGCGTCTTCATATAGCTGTTGAATGAAGTTGACAAAGGTTTATGGCACTAAAACCGTAGTGTTAAAGCAGTTTCCAAATTACTTCTCGGTTGACGCTGTTGAAGGCCTTTTCAAAGTCCATAAAGTTGGGGTAAATAGTTGACTGCCATTCTATACTGTCCTATGATGATGAGTAGCGTAGCGTTGCAATTTGTTCCGCACATGATTTGTTCTTCCTGGAGCCAGCCAGCCTGTTCCGGTCGTAGTCTTGAGTCTTGAACATTTTTTGTCTCTCCAGGATGATGCGTCCTAATATTTTGGTTGGTGTTGACAGGAGAGTGATTCCTCGACTGTTCTCGCAAAGACTTAGGACGCCCTTCTTTGGGAGTTTGGCAAGGTAGCCCTTCTTCCAATCAATCTGCAGCTACCTTTCCTTCCTTCCAGACCTTCTGCAATAGTGGTGTGGTGTGAGCATATGCGCTGATGCTTCTGTATCTGTTTGCAGTGCTTCTGGAGAAATTCCATTCGGTCTTGCTACTTTCCCGGATTTCAGCAACTTTATGGCGTTCAGGACTTCACTCTTCCTTTTGTTGGAGGGCTTGTATTCACTGGTAGTTCTGTCGCTGGGTTGCTGGTGGTATTTCTGGACGAAGTGCAGGTGGTGGTGGTGGTCGATTCAAGAGTTTTTTGAAGTGTTCAGCCCAACGTTTCCTTTGTTTCTCCTCTTTGCTAGCTAATCTTCCTTCACTATCTTCTTTCATTGGTTTCATCTGAGTTGATCTCTTCCCTCCCAGATAGTAGCCTGGTTATTCGATATAATGTTGTCAGGTCTCCCCTACATGTAGCCTGTTCTCCTTCACTTGCAAGTATGTCACATAAGTGTCTTTTGTCTTTCCGCGCACTCTTCTTCACTTCTTTGTCCAGTGTAGTCTTTTATAGGTTTTGTTCAGTTCCTCTTTTCGTTGTTTATCCTTGCACTGGTTTATATTCTGTTTCACCATCTTCCTCTTCCTTCTCTATCAGCTTCCATGTGTCCGTCGAGATCCATTCCTTATCTTCTTTCTTCCTTCCTAATACGGTTATGCAGGTTTCCTTCCACGTCTCTTTCAAAGACTTCCAGTGCTCATGCACACAAGTTTCTTCAAGGATGTTGCTCAATATCTCCCATTTTGTCTTGATGACTGCCGTGAAGATTCTCTTTGTAGTTTCGTCCTTCAGTATCTGTTCAGGGTACAAAACTTGAACTGTGGTTTATTGCTAACTTCCTAGAAGGCTTTCAACTTGATTTGGAAGGTTCCTTGCACTAGATAGTGGTCTAAGCCTACATCTGCTCCCCTTCTTGACCTTGTATAAAGTAGGCTGCGTCTCCATTTTCTTGAGATTGAGATAAAGTCGATCTGACTTTCAGTGTATCCATCTGGATAAATCAAATCCATGTCGTTTTGTGGATATCCTTGTGCTTGAACACAGTGCCTGACTCCAATCACCAAATCGTTGGATGCACAGGATTCTGCAAACAGTTCTCCATTCTCATTCATTTCGCCAAGCCCTTCTCGACCTATGGTTAGTTCTCTTCCTCTGTTGTCCGCTCCCAGTTTGGCATTCATGTCACCCCACCCACCAGAATTTTGATGTCGCCAACTGGAGTGAGGTCTTGTCCAGTGTTAATTGCAGTTGTCTGTAGAATTCATCCTTCTTCTCTTCATCTGCATTATTTATAGGTGCTTAGCGTAGCATTGTACGACTGTGACGTTTCTTCCTTTTGAGTTGAACCTTACTGTCATGATCCTGATCCTGCAGGAGGAGATTGGTTTCCACTGGATCAGAGAGAGTCTTCGATGCTGTTGGCGACATCATGATAGCCACTCGAAAACTCAGTGTGTTGTGCTCGTGGTTGTCGTCTGGGTGACACTATCGGAGTAGATGAGTGACTCTCTAGTTGACAGTTTGGAGAGTCGACTTCCATTCCATCTGCTCTCGCAGATTCCTATCCTAGCACTTGTATGCTATATCTTCTCATCTCTTTCACAATCTGGGCAGCCTTGCTAGGTTCAACCATAGTGCGGACATTCCATATCCCCACGTTTACTTTCGCTTTCATCGAGAGAGAGAAGACACATTGGTCAATTGGCTTCCCTAAGGCTTCATCCAACTGGCGTCATTTCGTCTCCTTGATTCTGGCAAGGAATATGTTTATTTTCATTTATTTATTTGTTTATTGGTGCTTTAAAGTTTCTTTAGCAGTTGGATTAGTTTCACGTGATGGGGTTGCTGGCCCTATGCTCAACCTTTCCCGTTTTTCTGGGCTTAGGACGGGTTAGCAAATTAGTGAACTAGTAAACTAGTCGAGCTTTGTAAGCTGAACGGGATCTTCTAAAATGAATTCAGCGAACCCTCATATATCTTATCACAGCACAAGATTAACGTGAATAAGCTTGAGTTGCAGTAGAAATTTTAGCCTGAGGCTGCTTTGGATTATATTTAATACAGTGTAATCTTTTGCACCGATTGTAGAGATCCAAATGTTTTACAAAATTTAAGTCATTGGAATAAAGCCTCAGGCGGTTTGCAGCTAGTCAGTAACCATGAAATAGGACGATATCGTCCTATTCTGTAAATGTTATCATTTTTAATTTGTTCAGATTGTTACGCATGGGAGCGAATGCACGAAATTTTCCTTGTGCGTAGTTTCTCTCCCAATCAGTGTGCAGTCTAAGCCTATCGTGAAATCTTCCTTTTCTGTGATTGTTAATTCACGTTAACACATGAAAAGATGCATACAAATGCAGCAACAGACTAAAAATCAGCGTAGAATATGACAGAGAAGTGTATCAGTCGAAGTTAACAGCAACAAAAATAAAAAGTGGTTATAAAACGAATCACAAGAGCTAATGCAAGTGTATAAGAGCGGAGAGCATTAAAAGATAAAGATTCATGGAAATGTTCAAACTTTCCAAGAGTGAATACATATGCACCGTTGTGACTGATTTTCAGCCTGCAATCACTGATTTCTAACATATTGAGGACCCAAGCCAGGGAGTCTATGTCTTCCCTACACGGCTCAGATAAACAATTAAAAACTGATGTCAAGTCTTGGTATGGTCACCCTAAGGCATATTCCAACCTGTTCAAACTTCGGTTAACACTGCACGCTGGAGTAGGTGATGGGTCAGCATGTGCAACATATGTCCAAGTCAACTCATTCGGTGGAAGTTCACAAGTTCATCGACTGATTTCCCTTTCTTCCTTAGTACGTTTATTCCTATCGTCAGCATTGCTGAAAGTTTGATCCCATCATATGCAAGCAACAGTACGAAGACACCATTGATAAAGTGCTTGTAACTCACATATATCCAGTGTAGTATTGTAGGTAAATTTTATTTCATTCCTTACCAGGAAGCGTTGTCAGTTTGTGACTTCCTCTGAAGACCTCATATTTTGATTTATATTTCCTTCTCGCTGTTCAGCATACATTTCATCACTGTCCTGATTTTCAAAACTTTGCAGACTACATTATTAATCTGAAAATTATTTTGTTACCCTGGATCCTTCACAAAGGCGCATGCTTAATATGTCAAATCTTTTTGGCGAAATATGCCAATTATTTTGCTGTCCTCCACGACCTTCTCACATTGTTGCCAAATTAGCATTTCTTCCACCACCACCGACTTATTCCATCACCACGTCGGCTAATGATTCTACCTGTCGCATTGAGTTTAAACCTGAATCTGGTTGGCAAATTTCTGAAGATATAAAATCCAAGCTGACTGTAAGTCTTTTTTATTATTTAAATATAGTTCAACCCTTCATTATCACAGTACTGATGATCATCTGTCTAACAGCATTGTAAAATTCATACACTATATATATATATTACCACAGGCGCTTGTGCATTGTTCTTTTTCAATTTGCCATGGAATTAACTCGTAGTTTATGACCAAGGGTATTTATACGCCTAGGAGATTGATCAATAAGGATGAGTGGAGTGTGCAATCATACTACTGCAGACATTAATATATCTTGGCACTTATCTCATTAATGTCTAAATCTGTAGAAAGTTAAATAGCATTCTTTTTCTAGCAGTGCCTAGGATTCCTTCTTGACGAAGTTCCCGAATAAGTGCAGCAACATCTGTCCACCATAAAGGAGGTAGTGAATTGCAAAAAGAATTATATTTCTCTAAGCTTCATGGATTATGTGACCATTCTGACTTAATTTGAACCAATTTAGTAGGGCTTTGACCTGTATTCACAACCATGTAGAGCTGCTGCTCATCAGTCTAGATAGTCGAGTTTCGATAAACAGGTAGCGGGTTCAAACGCTGCTTCACGTATTGAGTTTCGGAGAACTAGGTTTTATGGTCAGCCCTTACACCATAGTGTAGCTCATTTTTCAGAGCGTGGAAATGCTTGTAGTTGCTGAGATATTCACATTCATCTGCTAACACATCAATGTGAAGTCGTTTAGTGACTCTACTACTTATGATATCTGTAAGCGTAATTTCTAACATGGTTTTCAGTGCAAAGATGAGTATCACTCTGCAGAAGAATTTCTTGTATTCTTCATATGTTTAGTAAGCAATACTTATTCACTATGACTATTTCTGTCAAGCAAACAGAAAGTCTAACTAAACAAGAATCTTGCACAGAACTATGACATTCCAATTTGTCACAGTTCATTTATGATAAACACTGATGATTTCTCCGCATCGTTCTCCACATGGCTTTGACGATTGTTGAGGTTATACCAACCGTGCACGAAGTAAGGGAAATCAGTCGATGAACTTGTGAACTTCCACCGAATGAGTTGACTTGGACATGTGTTGCACATGCTGACCCATCACCTACTCCAGCGTGCAGTGTTAACCGAAGTTTGAACAGGTTGGAATATGCCTTAGGGTGACCATACCAAGACTTGACATCAGTTTTTAATTGTTTATCTGAGCCGTGTAGGGAAGACATAGACTCCCTGGCTTGGGTCCTCAATATGTTAGAAATCAGTGATTGCAGGCTGAAAATCAGTCACAACGTTGCATACATCTTCACGTCTTTTAGGGCTTGAACATTCTCTCTTACTTTGGTTTTTAAATTCCTTTTCCTCCCATGCACTTCTGTCTTCTTTGATATCACTCTTTTTCCATAATTTTTTTTCGGTACATGCTACTATGCGATGTGGCAGCCTGAACTGGTGTACTTATGAGGGAAGTTCTGCCTTGATTTTATCTGTCTGTTTCAAGATGTTCCAAAGAAAGTTATTCATTGTCCATTTGGTTTATTGAGTTTTTTCTGATGTCTGCAATAGTAATAACATGTAGACCACCACTAAGTAACAGTCACTTTGGAAACTAATTTTATAATCCTATGCTTTCTTGAATGAGTAGCTGTTACGGATATAAACAAATTGCCAGGATAGTTTTGAATGTGCAGTTGCAGTTAGTGGCTATCATTTTTAAAATATCAAGGTGCAATGTAATTCAAAGTATTCAGAATATCGTGCTTTTACCACAGACATTCAAAACCTACAGCTCAGGGTGATGGTAGAACTGTGACTTGCTAGTTTAGGGGTTTGACTTTCAACGATGGTTCATAGGTTCAAATACCATCCCACCTACCGAGGTTTGGACAATCAGTTGGTATCGTTGGTCCTCACACAATAGTTGTGGTACATTGCCTACTACCCAAATAAGCATATAGATAGAGTACATGTCAATACTTACAGTGAGGATTCCAATCCAATCTAGTGATTATTATGTTGGATCATGTAACCCTGTGCTACATTTATAGACAAGTGGATCGTAACATATAGCCTTGTATACAAGTGCACTCTTTTGTGTACCACAACTCACAACACTATGAAGTAAACAAAAAGAATATTAGTGCCAGGAAAAAATGGAAGAGGAGCGACAAAACGTTCAGGATTTTATGGGAAACAAGTGGATATACAAGGGTTATTTTAATAAAGCATGATTCATGTCATGTAGGTTTCCCGGTAGTTTATTATCAAAATATTCTGAACTCTAATCAGCTAGTCTACACTTCTCCACACGGTTTACTGCAACACTTAGTCAATTGGTACCACATTTACTGCTACCAGCAACCAGAACAAAACTCTTCTGGATCATAGATAAATAGCGCAAAGAACTACTAAATAGTGATGTGGATATCTTAATTCATGGTGATTTTCGTTCGACAATACCAACACTGAAAACACGTTTCATATCAATAACCCATCAGAAAGAGATCCTCAGGAAAACAGAGCCTAGTGAGACTGAGTTCTGGTAAACATGAGGTCATTTTTTCCTAGCTCTCAGTTATGTTGTGTAGTACTCATCAGCTATAGACCCTTTTAAATATTGCACAACTGATTTTTTGGACAGCTTCTGAGGAAGCACTTCATCTGTCTGATGTTTTTGAAACCCTCAAATAAAATTTTCTTGTTTGACTCGGTACAAGCGTCTCTCTGCTTTTATTATCTGTAATGCAGAGTTACGAGCTGTTCAATACACCTCATCGTGATGACTGCATTGCATTTCCTATTTAAGTGGCTGCAGATTCACAGCTTCAACATTACCCACTGAAAGGTTTTACTCCACGCTAGCAATACTGTGAATATTCTTATCATTAAAAGTCTTTAGCCTTTTAGTGACAAAGGTAAATGCAACTCTTAAGCTACACGTTCTGATGTATCATACTGGTACTGTTGGATACATGTTTTGTTTTCACCTACTGGGTTCTTAGTTATTATAATTCACACTGTATCCTTCCAGAAACGGACAAAATTGACTTTCAAGGCTCTTTTTTAATTCATTTTGTCTGTAGCATCATCTTAAAATTTCTCTTTTATATCGTATATAGACCTTGAGTTGGTACAATCAGGGATACAAGAAATCCAGCGGAAGTTTTACTGTGTTCATTCTCGATGAAAGTTAGACATGTTCAAGTAAGACAGAGCACGTTACGATAATAATATCTATGTATCAACACCCTCAAATATGGATGTCATTAGTTAGAAACTAGGTAAAAAAACGTTGAAACAACGTAAAATGTAATGAAAATGATTTGCCTAATTTACTAGTTAACTCCCAGTGGTTAGGCTGATTGGATATGCATACCACTAAAACATGGTTTCGTGGTTTTGTAAGTTACTGTTTTCTGATTTTTGGGTTGTAGGTCACGTTTTTATTTTATTTTAATAGCTATGAAGGACAGAAAATGTTTTGAGAGTATGATCTTGAGTGCGTGTGAACGGACGGTGTTGGATACGACTATCTGTTTTTACTTCAACATCCATCTAGTATGATGTGTTTATTTTGGTTGACTGGCTTAGGGAACTTGACTTTCAAGCAATCGGTTTTGGGTTCAAACCCCATTCTACTTACTTCAGACTGGGTTGCGGTGTAGTGTCACAAGCCCTCATGTATGAATGGCAGCTGAGTTTATAGACGTATGCTGGTTTGAGGTACATTACTGTCACTATTATTATTACTGTTACTATTATTATCATTATTATGATGATTACCAACATATCTGTTGTAATGATGATGTCTAGATCGACTCTGAAGCTTTCTTTAACAGGAGTTTTAGATCATGGTGCTCTAAACGTCAGTAACACGAGGTTTCACTTAGTTTATGTTTTTTTAGCTGCAGGTCGATGCTGACTATGTACTCAGCTTAGAGAATATCGATTACGTTCAGTTGGAGTTTTGTTAATGGGTCTGTCAGTGTAACTCATTTAGAGTTGGGACTGAAATATACAGTTTAGTGAAGTTATCTTAATTTGAATGGAATACAAGTCCTATTCCATTATTTTGGTATATTAACCATTATGTTTGTAATTGATTCTTCTCTCCTTCGGATAGGTCTTCTATACATTAACGAAGCGTCAATCTCGTATTGTTTGTATGCATATTCCAGCAAACTCTGTTGTGTCACCATCAAAGTTCTCATCAAACCTATCTTCACGACGTGGTTTAACCTCACAATCGAGAATAAGAAGCCCTGCACTTAGTGTCAGTTGTCCAACTCTTACAGATGAAGGTAGATTTGGATCAATTCCTCCCGTTTTTTCTGGTGATTCACCACACCAGGCAACCTACACAGTTTTATTTAGTCATGGCAATGCAGTTGATATTGGTCAGGTAAGTTTTTTAAAGAGATGTCTAGCAAGAGTGCAAAATATACTATGATTGTCTGTTACTGTTGTAAGGTACCTGAATCTTTTACTCCAGTTACGTATCGTGAAAAGTGATGTATACTTCAAAAAGGCAGTCCCTGAAGTCTATAAACTTGTTCAAAATGACTAGTTTCAAAGTAGTTTTCACCTCAAGTTGACGTCGACTAGAGAACCATCGGTAGAGCTGTGGCTCATTGGTTTAAGGGGAAAACTCGACCATTGGGTCACGCGTTTAAACCCCTTCCCCCTCACATGGTCTGGACAACCAATTAGTGTCACTAACTTTCACACACTAGGTGTGTTTCGTTGCCTACTGCACGAATGTATATCCATGATCTTTTGGGGGATCAAGCCCATGAAGACTTTGTCAAAAGTCCCTCTGCTACTTTTGCTGACTCTCAGAACAGTGTAGTATTTTGCGTTGATCTGGATCTCATGAACCTCCAGTGCATTGGCTAGATTTGGTTCTCTTCATTCCTCCTCTGTCACAAAAGTCGCATAGTTTCTCTACTATATAGATGTTATTCTAATGAGTAGTATTTTCGAAGGTTACACTTGAAGGAAATTCTATGCATTATGGTTTGTCATTGTTTATATTTATACAGTACAGACTAAGACATGTTATTCAAAAGAAACAAAGTTTTGCGATTGACAGTTCAAACTGAAGAACAAATGAGAATGGTTTTATTTAGCATAATCAGTTTCATAATGTATGGTATTTGTTACACCAAGCTAAAAAACATATTAAAAGTTGTATACCAACAATATATACATACTGTGCATACCAAATTTGAGTTGTTTTCTGTTGATCTCTTTCTGTATATATCAGTCACTTTAGTTCATTCTACTCAGCAATCAGGTACATGTTCATGCAATACACTATAAGCCATGCCTTAATGTGTAACAGCTAATGATGCGAAATGGTTACCTAAAGTAGCTTGATTTGCTGAATCTAATTATTTGGTCATAACTAGACTATCAGTTAACAAATGTCTCAATATTTCTGTTGACCGTATCATGATTTACATTTTCGTATGCATAGATTTACACGGGTCACATTAGATTGGTGTCTGAAGAAATCTCAACATCGATGCAAGTGAATCGATTGGATCTCACTAACTTGTGTCATCTTTGGTACTAGTAAGATGTTCAGTTGCCTGTTAAGGGTTTCATATGGTGCTTAGGTATTTGCTGTTTCCTATTGGATCACTAATAAGGCTATAGGTATTTGACCACCATCATCGTCACAGCTTAGGGTGTATGTAATGGAATCACTATATGAATAATGTGAAGGTTAGGCATAAGTGGAAGGAGTCAGTTAAATGATGAAGTTGCCAACCTTCACCTACTGAGGTAGTCTGACCATGTTTTGCGCACCCCGAAGCAGTGTCTACTCCTCTGTTGTATGTTAATTAATGGAGGTTTAGATTGAAAGAAAGCTGAGTAACCAAATCAGGATGTGGATCTAATCCTTGAAGTCTCACTTTTAATACGAGTCGTTTAGAAAAATCTAGGCTTCTTGGTCGAAGTTTAAGAGACTACTAAAACAGACAGCTGAACACCCTAGATGCAATGGTTCGGGATCATTCTCAGTGGTGCAGATTCATTCACACCTTATTATCCACCGTGATCGTGATACCATAGTCCTTTATGTACTTCAACTCCTGTTATTTATGTCCTGTGACCTTCAAAATCCTTTGATTGTTTTTCTTCCTTGCGTGTTTCCCTGTCTTTTTGTTGTTATTTTTGACCTTATGTGCTTGTGTAAAGTGTGATAACGTGAACCAACTGTGTCAGTCGTGTCTTATATCGATCATTTCCATCTATTTGTTATATGCACTGTTATAAAGTATGTGAGTATTTAGTGTTATTGCTTGTATGACACCGTCGTCGATTGGACCCAATTGATCAGTCTCTGTTGGCATATGGGCTCCTGTGCAAATGCCTCGATATTGCCTGTGTTTTAATTATGTATAGTAATGATAGGCAGTGGCTAGCAGTGGAATCCAGAATGCACATTTCGTCCTATTTGGGACTCGTCAGCTAGATGTACCTGCCTCCCAGTGAGTGGTGTTGTTCCCATTCTATCCTACCGCTTTTCTACACTGGCATTGAGATGCTATTAGTATGGACACAACCCGATGAACTCCTTTATAAAAGTAGTATGCTCAGTCTTAAATAGGCGTCCCTTCAGCTTTGCTTTAAAGCTAAAATATTTCAATGCACCAACTTTTATAGTGTGAACAGATGGAAAGTATCGAGTAATCGCATGCTTTCAAAGGTATACAAAACCCTTCTGACCTTTCACTTACAACATCTATGGCGCTTTCGTCTTTTAAATCAGTGGTAGTATGCGGCAGATAATAACACTTAAAAGATACTGTTAAAAGATAAAATAAATTGGTAAAGCAGAACCGTGGTAAATAAAGTATACGAAGGTTATAATGATTTCATGTAAGTAGGACAACACATGAAAACTGAATCACATCTATGCCCTTTTTAGAAAAGGATGGCATAAACTGAAAATAAATTAATTCAAGGACACAAATAAAACAAGCGGTGAAGATCGACAAGCTGGTTTATAAAGGGAACTAGTATTCATCATGTCAGGCTATTCGAGTTCATAAAAAAATGAATACCATTAATTTGAAAGAGGTCAAATCTATAGAATTAGAAGAGGTGAAAAACAATAGTGTTATTGATCCGAATGGCGCTATCACAGTAAATGTTTGTTTGGAACAACAAAAACTATATGAAACAATACTCACATATAAGGTAATGATGGGCAGTGGCTAGCAGTGGAATGCAGAATGCGCATTTCGTCCTGTTTGGGACTCGCCAGCTGGATGTACCTGCCTCCCAGTGAGTGATGTTGTTTCCACCGGGACTCAGGATCGATCGCTTCCAACACCAGAGCGTTATCGACTACACCACCGAGCCATGATAGCCACTTCTTGTGCGACGGGTATAATTTTAGTGTTATTACTTGTATGTATCAATGACGGTGTCGTACAAGCAATAACACTAAAACCTACCCCAACGCGTGATAATGGTTGAAGTAAGATTAAGTGGTTAATTAATGTAAACAGTAGATCTGAGGCTTAAATCCTGCTTCACATACTTTTGTCTGAGCAATAGGCTACCATAACAAGTCAATACAAGTTGAGTATGGCTCATAGCCTTCTATTTATATCTTTACTGAGTTGAGTTGCCTTAGTTTTCACTTAAATCCTTGCATAAAATGTAATACTGTTCTGTGCAGTCATTTACTGTTAGTTAAATATAAACTCTACGGGATGTTCGCAATCAGTCGTTGGAGGCTATAGTTGATATTACTTAAAATCATTCACGGTGGCATGGGTGTTCGCACTCTTTGTCTTTATCTAAGTCTCGGGTATTTTAATACTCTGTTTTCCTTTCCTCTCATCTGTTTTGTTCTTGACCTGAATATCTTCTCATTCTTAGTGCTATTCTTTTTTCATACTATTACAAATTGTGGGAAGATTAACTTATATGCTTTTGTTCAAGGTTTTGTCTGCTTAGTCTGTCTGTCGACTATCGGTTTTTGAAATCAGATTTAATCGGAAAGAGCCATCACTTACTGTTGTTGTAGTCTATCAGCTCTCCAGGTTCAGAGTTTTGAATGAGTTTTTAAATTGCTTGTTTGTAGAATATTAATCATAACTTTTTAGTGAAGAATGGTTAACTCTCTTCATTCTGTTAAGAGACCCTTTAGTGATTGAGTTTTTAAATGACTATTGAGGAACTAAACATAGCAAAATAGGACGGTCGTAGTAAATATGTCAATGTACTATACTATTGGTTTCAGCGAGATTTCCAGATGAAATGAAGGTTATAATGCACAATGTAACATGTAATGAATTTTTTGTCTTTGAAGTTCCAGACGATTTAATATCAAGCTAAATGTGGAAGTCGCTCAGTATTTAAACAATTGATTACCGACCACTTAGAAATCGAGTTGTAACTCAGCAACCACGTACATGCTTATATAGCAGGCAGTGAGCCACACCTATTGTTCGATGGCTTGTCATACCCGAACGTCGATAGGTGGATCAGGGTTCGAACTCGGAACATAATGGTTGGTAGCCAAGTGCCTGCACCATTGGACCACAGCTCCACTGACCATTGGGTCACGGATCAAAACCCATCCTACTTATTTTGTTCGGTGTGGTCAGTCAGACAGTATTATGATTAATTACATTTAGTACAGCTCATCTCCCAATATGTAAACTTGTGCCACAGTACTGGGTTAAAATAATAAAAATGAATAATTATCCCAAGTTAGGCAGACTGCTGATTAACGAAAGGTTAAACTACGGGATCCCTAGTTAACAGAGATATAGATCAATAAGTTCACCTAGTACCATTCACATACGGGAAAAGGAATAGAGTTGTGACGATAACAATGCTCGTAAGTAAGGCGAAAATCAACCCCACCTTAATAAATCAATCTTCAAATACGTTACTCGTAGTGTATTTAAAAAGATTAAATCAACCGAACTGTCACGCACATAAAATATAAATATTTTTAGGCAGATTTAAAATCTCAGACATTACCCATTACCCCCCCCCCCCCTCCCCCTCCAAATCAGACTATCACTGTAACCACGGTATATAGAGTCTTCTGAAATAGTACTATTTTTTACAATGAACATTATGTTTAAAGTTGTGTGGCACGCATGCTTGCTACTAACTGATTTGTTATGTAGTACCCATATTTTGAAAACATTTATTACAAAGCTATGGATTTATTTCTTCCTAACCGTTAGGTGTTACTTAAGAAACACAAATCTTCGTTTTGTACTCTAATAATTCTCTTTGTTGATTTATATTTATTATTATTAGTCCCTTGGGTTCCTAGTGGAACATAGGGCTTCAGTAGCACGCCTCCAGTGACCTCTGTTCTCTGAGATCTTTTGAACCTGGTTCCACGACAGCCCACAA